TTTGTGTAGGTATTTGCTTGAAACACGAAACTTGCCGTGCATTTTTTTTGCATATTTTGATCTATAAATAATATGTATTTACTGAGAAATTTCCTTCTAAGCCATCCAATTTCATTATTTAACTACCCACACGTAGAAAATCGTATTTAAACTGAATAGAAATAACACGTATTGAAGTTATACAATTACTTGATAATATGTGATAATTAGATAAAATGTGATAATTTCAAATTCTTAAAAATAGTTTTCGACCACACATTCAATAATACATTATATTCCGTTCAATTAGTATCATTCTAGTCGTATTTCATGGTTGTATATTGCAAAGTGATGTCGTTGGAATCGACAATATTTTTTCCTGATAGAAAAAAAACTAAACACTGACACATGAGAAAACGAAACTTAAGCCTGGTAAATCGATCATGTACAGAACTTGTTTGATAAATCATATCCTATTCATGTGAAGTTTAACAGCCTCGGGTAAGATTACACACCCACACCACCCACTGATGGCCTTCATTTTATTTTGTCCTCTCCATTTTTGCTTTTTGCCATAAAAGCCTGTTAAAATGTAAGGTACGTAAACTCTTTGGTTTCATTTCAAATGAAATTTCATGTTACTTGTCTTGAAGGATTTAATCATTGCTTGTCCAAACTCGCAAATTAAAAAAAAAACAGAAAAGAAAAAAAATATCATACGTGTTTCCTAGAATCCAACATGAAATGAAAATTCAATTTAAGAGTCTATACATCTGCAATGACTCTAGGATGATATGTAGGACAGATTAATCATGTGACCGTGACGGCGATACATCTGCAATGACTCTAGGATGATATATAGGACATAGTCGTGTGACCGTGACGGCGATACATCTGCAATAACTCTAGGATGATATGAAGGACAGATTAATCACGTGACCATGACGGCGATACATCTGCAATAAATATAGGATGATATGTAGGACAGATTAATCACGTGACCGTGACGGCGATACATCTACAATGACTCTAGGATGATATGTAGGACAGAATAATCACGTGACCGTGACGGCGATACATCTACAATGACTCTAGGATGATATGTAGGACAGAATAATCACGTGACCGTGACGGCGATACATCTGCAATGACTCTAGGATGATATGTAGGACAGATTAATCATGTGACCGTAACGGCGATACATCTGCAATGACTCTAGGATGATATGTAGGACAGATTAATCATGTGACCGTGACGGCGATACATCTGCAATGACTCTAGGATGATATGTAGGACAGATTAATCATGTGACCGTGACGGCGATACATCTGCAATGATTCTAGGATGATATGTAGGACAGATTAACCACGTGACCGTGACGCGATATATCTACAATGACTCCAGAATGATAAGTAGGACAAACTAATCCCGTGACCGTGACGGCGATAGAACCTTCTGATACTCATTGATTTTTTGTGTAATTTACATCCACACAGACTCCTTAATGTCGATAGGCTTTGACAACGTTGTCTCAACAAAAGGGTCAAATTATGGACCCATTAGATAGGATCACTTCCCATTAAGTGCAGACAACTGAATCTGACTGTTGCGGAAACTAAATAAATACGGCTTGCGTGTCGGTGGCCATTTTGAAAGTATCATAAGGATCGATCGACTAGTCGATATGTTTATATCTGTTGATATGCCGTTAAATCAATCATCCGTGACTTCAAGAGTTAGTTTTGAGTCATGACCGAATTATTTTACAACAAAATACATATACTTATGTTAACGCTTGATATACAACCGTATTATCCCTGATTCTTTGAACCATTGAGTCGTGATTTGGTATTCAGTGATGGTATAACATAATACACACGAATATAATTTCAATATAATTCTACAATTAGATACATTATAGATAAATAATTGAATGCATCATACAGCTATTTCGTAATTCTAGGACACGTCAGTAACACAAAGGACCAAATGGTTGAGACAGAGGTGAGAACTGGAGGAAATGAAAATTGGTAGAAATTGCTGTCAAAAATCAGTCGGGGAGGTTCACAAACCCTAAACATTCAATGAATTTCAGTTTAAGATCATTCTTTCTGAATCGTGTCCCTATTCGACCGAATTAAAATTCCGCCGTGGCTTGTCGGTCCTCTCGATCAGACATATATCTATAATGTATTAATCGTCGTAGTGTAGTGTAGATTGAGTAGAACTGACAATCTAGTTAGTATCAACACGTGGTTTTCCTGTTTCCAGATAGTGTAGATTGAGTAGGACTGACAATCTAGTATCAACATGTGGTCTTCCTGTTTCCAGATAGTGTAGATTGAGTAGGACTGACAATCTAGTATCAACACGTGGTTTTCCTGTTTCCAGATAGTGTAGATTGAGTAGGACTGACAATCTAGTATCAACACGTGGTTTTCCTGTTACCAGATAGTGTAGATTGAGTAGGACTGACAATCTAGTATCAACACGTGGTTTTCCTGTTACCAGATAGTGTAGATTGAGTAGGACTGACAATCTAGTATCAACACGTGGTCTTCCTGTTTCCAAATGGTGTAGATTGAGTAGAACTGACAATCTAGTTAGTATCAACACGTGGTTTTCCTGTTTCCAGATAGTGTAGATTGAGTAGGACTGACAATCTAGTATCAACACGTGGTTTTCCTGTTTCCAGATAGTTTTTGTGATAAATACATCAGCCGATCTACCGGTCAATATAGTTTACACATCCTAAAATGGGGAAATGCAAAATGTTAGCGAACTCCCTATTCGCACGGACGGCTGCTAAAGTAGCTGGAGATAACCGGACTGTATCGGAAGACAAAATCAGCCACCATTCTCGTGGTATTTCTGACAGGTTGATGCCTTGTCATTCGTATGATCTCTCGTGTCCTATCGATTCTCTCAAGTTATTTCTCAGACTTTGAATAAATTGCTGTTGTTACCATGGCAACATCGTTTTATGCTGCTTCAGTGCGTGTTTTGAGATCGTGCTGGGACAGTAAACAAGTATATCTACATCTCGATGTTTAACCAAACATTATGTTGACAGCCCATTCTATACAATGCAAACCCAAGCAAAGCAAATACGTTCAGTATTCATTTTTCACAGTTTTCCATTTATCATCAGCTTGACAAACATTTTTTTATGTGAAGTATTTCTGGTTGACATGTTCTTTATAACCAAACTGGTACATTTTCGATGCCGTTCCCTATCGCGGACAGCTCCCTCAGTATGCAGATGTTATCTACAACGGACTACATTTTCGATGCCGTTCCCTATCGCGGACAGCTCCCTAAGTCAGTATGTAGATGTTATCTACAACGGACTACATTTTCGATGCCGTTCCCTATCGTGGACAGCTCCCTAAGTCAGTATGTAGATGTTTTCTACAACGGACTACATTTTCGATGCCGTTCCCTATCGTGGACAGCTCCCTCAGTATGTAGGTGTTATCTACAACGGACTACATTTTCGATGCCGTTCCCTATCGCGGACAGCTCCCTCAGTCAGTATGTAGATGTTATCTACAACGGACTACATTTTCGATGCCGTTCCCTATCGCGGACAGCTCCCTCAGTCAGTATGTAGATGTTATCTACAACGGACTACATTTTCGATGCCGTTCCCTATCGTGGACAGCTCCCTCAGTATGTAGGTGTTATCTACAACGGACTACATTTTCGATGCCGTTCCCTATCGCGGACAGCTCCCTCAGTCAGTATGTAGATGTTATCTACAACGGACTACATTTTCGATGCCGTTCCCTATCGCGGACAGCTCCCTCAGTCAGTATGTAGATGTTATCTACAACGGACTACATTTTCGATGCCGTTCCCTATCGCGGACAGCTCCCTCAGTCAGTATGTAGATGTTATCTACAACGGACTACATTTTCGATGCCGTTCCCTATCGTGGACAGCTCCCTCAGTTTGTAGGTGTTATCTACAACGGACTACATTTTCGATGCCGTTCCCTATCGCGGACAGCTCCCTCAGTCAGTATGTAGATGTTATCTACAACGGACTACATTTTCGATGCCGTTCCCTATCGCGGACAGCTCCCTCAGTCAGTATGTAGATGTTATCTACAACGGACTACATTTTCGATGCCGTTCCCTATCGTGGACAGCTCCCTAAGTCAGTATGTAAATAGCATGTTATCTACAACGGATTACATTTTCACTAAAAAAAATAGCGAAATTTTGAACCATGCGAAATAACTTTTAAAGAAATTTGTCAGCATTTTAACTTTTTCTGGCTGACATAATTTTTGTTAAGGTCGAACTAGAAAAAAATGGGTTAATATGTATATGTATGTCATTCAAGAAACCATTGATTTGTAGTAGCATCAAACGTCTGATACGATAAAAAATTAAAATTTCTATGAGCTGGAGTAAATGATATAAAAATAAGTGTTAGGTGAAGGAGAACATGTGTTAAAATTTCTACTTGTTGGTTATCTGGACATAGAGACTCATAACACAGGCGATGAGGAGATGTCGTTATGGCATTGTCTGTCAAGTGATTATTGCTGAAAAAAAATACATATTCTTTGTTACCCTTAACATCTCAATAGCATTAGCTGATAATAATATTGGAGACTGAACTTATTGGTGTGAAGAGAAGGAACCTGGAGAGGACGTGATCACTGATGTGATTAGCAGATATCGAAAGATAATTCTACATGATAATATTATACATGCATTATACACTACCAAGAATATTTCTCCTATCAGCCCAGACCTAGAAGAGTAATATACAGACATTTCTACTTGCAAAATTACTTCGAATGAAAATATTTCTTATCTTAAGTCAACGTCAGAGTAAGAAATAAATTTGAAATTATTGAGCACGTGTTAGTTCAGACGTAGATTTTTTAAGCCCTGTGATACAGTGATTTATAATGTATCGTTCTAAATAACGTCAATACATCCAGAGTATGTAATGATTATCAGTGATTTCATGTTAACTTTTATACTCTCTTTTTCTATTTTCAGTTTCACCGTTTGGAATAGTCGGGATAGTCGCTGGAACAATAGTGTTCATCGTTCTCGCCACCATCGTAACGTATAAATGTTATCGTCGCCGGAGAGTTCAGGAGGCCCAAAGCCGGCTGTCGTCTGCCATCAAAAAGGGGCTAAAGGAAAGCACTAACGTCAAGAAAAATGTCTCCGCACGTGGCACACCAATGAAGCACAAAGCCACCAGTCCTATAACTCCGCCATCACAGCATGACCTTGGATCCACAGAACGTATGCTGCCCCCGTCTCATTCGATGCAGTCCGAAAAAGAGACATCTGGTCACGTGAAATCTGAAGTGTACGTGGAAAATGAGAAAGAGGGAAAAACACCAGAAAAGGAAGTGTGTATGAGGGAAAAACAAATTGATGAAAATAAAATACAGAAATTGGGCAATCTCCATTTCTCTGTGGAATATGATTCGCTGAAGACCGCATTGCTTGTGACGATCCTGCGCGCTGTAGACCTACCCCAGAGGGACCCCAGTTTAGGAGGATGTGATCCTTATGTCAAGCTGCAGTTGCTGCCTGATAAAAGGCACAAATGTAAGACAAGGGTGCTGAGGAAAACCCTTAGTCCAACGTATGACGAGACCTTCACCTTCTATGGCATCAGTGAAAATCAGATACAAGGAATTACCCTGCATTTCGTCGTCCTTAGCTTTGACCGGTTCTCGCGAGACGAGATTATCGGCGAAGTTGTTTATCCCCTAAATGGAGTTGATCCTACCCAGAAGGAAATTCACCTGACCAAGGAGATTCATCCACGTCACCTCAAAGTAAGTGTTTCTCCTTGGCATTTTCTCGTTTTATCTGCATTTATGGTTAATACACATTGTTCTCCATACATTTTTTTGTTGATAATTTAATAACACAGTTACACATGCTTTGTATTTCAGTGGTTTATATTGTTTGAATATCAGAATCTGCTCCATTGAGTTATCGAACACAATATCACTTCCTTTTTACAGCGAACACTTCCAGTTGTAGTTCCAATGTTTTTCATGCTCCTGGTGAGGTGTTTTCTTCAATGAATATTAATGTTACTCATGTTACTACAGAAAACGACAGATATCGAGCTTATATACAACGAGGGAATATTTTTGTTTGAATATTCATATAGTCGAAGCGATAAAGACTTTGTAATCTCGGCACGCACGCAAAAGAACGATGTCCGACCAGATTGCTGGATGTGTGACAGTTTCAAACATTTATGTTAAATTGAAATTCAAATGTTAAAATTGTATTCTATTATGTCTAAATTGTTTAACGTTTATTTCTTAAGCTCCTGTCTTAAAATTGATAATGAGTCATTTTTACGGAGGTAACTACATCACTTTTGAATAATTCGCTTCTCAGATTTGGTTCATACAAAGACATGATTTTCGTCATACAATTCAATATTCTTTACTTTATATTCCATAACACGTGAAGCCATCTCAGATGTATAGCCAGGCACAGAACAAAACATTACGATGCAAAACTCAAAATCGATATTGATCTCAAATGAAGGTAACATGAATTATGTTCTACAGAAATAAAAAAAAGTATTTGTTCGCAGTATTTAGAAATAGGATCCCGATAAAAAGGCAGGAACAGTACTGATCAAGACACACCAACCTGGTTCATTTATAGTCTGATAACAACTTGTCGTACTAAATGGTCTGTCGCATTCTACTCTTCATCCAGCGGCAGTCGATGTCACGGGACATAAGAACAATGTAAAATGATGTTATCTGGGAAGTTCAGGATTTATTTACTCCCTGTTCCATTGCAATCTATTTAAACACATTAGATCCTGTGCTATGAACTCAAACGTACTGACACAGTGTACTCTAGTCTCGTCACCAGTTTGTACTGATCTGATCTCGTCACCAGTGTGTACTGATAGTGTATTCTGATCTCGTCACCTGTTTGTACTGATCTGATCTCGTCACCAGTGTGTACTGATAGTGTACTCTGATCTCGTCACCAGTGTGTACTGATAGTGTACTCTGATCTCGTCACCTGTTTGTACTGATCTGATCTCGTCACCAGTGTGTACTGATAGTGTACTCTGATCTCGTCACCAGTGTGTACTGATAGTGTACTCTGATCTCGTCACCAGTGTGTACTGATAGTGTACTCTGATCTCGTCACCAGTGTGTACTGATAGTGTACTCTGATCTCGTCACCAGTGTGTACTGATAGTGTACTCTGATCTCGTCACCAGTGTGTACTGATAGTGTACTCTGATCTCGTCACCAGTTTGTACTGATAGTGTACTCTGATCTCGTCACCTGTTTGTACTGATCTGATCTCGTCACCAGTGTGTACTGATAGTGTACTCTAGTCTCGTCACCAGTTTGTACTGATCTGATCTCGTCATCAGTGTGTACTGATAGTGTACTCTGATCTCGTCACCAGTGTGTACTGATAGTGTACTCTGATCTCATCACCTGTTTGTACTGATAGTGTACTCTGATCTCGTCACCAGTTTGTACTGATCTGATCTCGTCACCAGTGTGTGCTGATAGTGTACTCTGATCTCGTCACCATTTTGTACTGATCTGATCTCGTCACCAGTGTGTACTGATAGTGTACTCTGATCTCGTCACCATTTTGTACTGGTATGATCTCGTCACCAGTGTGTACTGATAGTGTACTCTTTTTCTGTACTTCTGAAGTCCATATGTTTACCCCAAAACAGTTGTTACCCATCCCCACTCTATACAACCGAGTGAAACACAAGGCATTAGCACATTTCCCCCTAGAAAAGTCCAAAACAGAACCCAGTGAAATTTTGAAGAGTTGATTCAGTAGAGGACGACTAGCAACAGAGTAGCATCGATTGAAATTCAGTGAAAAAATACGCCGAGAATTGCTAACAGCGGCACGTTCATGTCATTTGGGTACGAAACTAACGAGATTAGCAGATCAATTAAGGTATTGTTGCATGCTACGCCTTTTGAGCGTTTGAGCTGGTATTTATAAAACCGTAAATTCTTTAAATGCATCAAGAAACAGCGATAGTGTATTTGTGATTAAAGTTCAAGGTAATTGTGTGTTAGATCTAATTAGATCTAAAGTTTTATAGTTTTTCACCGAATCACGTGCAATTAAATTCACAACAAAATTAATTAAAACTGGATATATAGTTATTTTCTTCCTAGAAAAATAAGTGGGGTTTCTCACGAACTAACGCGGACATATACGCCACATAAACGCTTCAAGGTAACGTTGTAGGTAAATGTTTCGGTGACGTCACCTAGACGTTTGAATCATGCCTCCTTACATTATATATGGTTTGTGTTTCGTGCTGGAGTTCAACATCATGGTCGTATTTTCATGGAAATTGGAGTTGAAACTACGAAGGAAGGAGGTGGTTTACGTTGGGAAGTTACAAATCTATAAGGTCCTTGTCTGTCAGATGTGGTACAGTCACCATGTAATGAATCTAAACCTGATTCCTAAATGCACGAAGTCACGTTTTACCACTATTGAGTATGGTGCATTCCACTCAATCAATGAACACAACCTCTTTGGCTAATTGAAACTAATTCTGCATTATTCCATGTTATTCCATGAATGTGATTTCTCAGTAAGACAAACGAGAACTATATTGTGCTGTGCAGTTGAATGTTCGTTTCCAGACAGAGTAAAACTAACGAATTTTCTTACAATGTAGTATACATTTGTTAATCTTAATCCGAGGATTGTTATCTTGTAAAACTTATGTAAAGACTAAACGGTATATATGTTTCACCCTTCCGGTACTTTGTAGTACATCATATAACTCTAGGTACCCAAGCAGTTTCATTATTATTAAGATATGTCATAATGTAAATATTAAATTTATCTGACAAGTGCTCGAACGGAAACATTACTGGAACACTTATATTAATTTCCACAAAGCGACCGACTTGTCCACTCCTGATGCGTGATAATTATGGGATGTAGTGTTCAGTGTTCTGTCTCTAATAAAAGCTCTCTCACTACCATGGCAATCTGAATCCAGCAGACGACTGCGCAACCGATTCTGCTGCGCTCGACAACTGTCAAGAAAACGCCGGTTCCTAACAAATGTTTACATACCTCCTTTTTTGGTTACTCTGAAATAATTATAGTAAAATTTCTAAAAGAAAAGTCTTCTGTTAAATGAGGATACTGTGTATGGTGTATTTTACAAAATACACTAAAACAAAAATATTGGTCCAAATTTCCCCCATAGAACCGCATGCTGATGCGTGGTTTCGAGCACCGATTATGCAAAAATGACTTCATTTATCTCGTGTATTTCTACCACAATACTAACCTTGAAATTAGTCTTTTTTAGTTTTTGATGTAGAGAAGGTTTGAAGTTTGAATATCATTATATAGAACAACAAAAAACAACATTGTAAATATTTGATATTTTTATGGTGTTCGATCATTGATTCTGACTTCTGTCGAAATCGGCCATTACACTGAAGTTGTTCGACCATCAGCCAAGAACTTAGCAACAACTGCGTGTGATCTTCAGTAATACTGAAGTTGTTCATGGAATGTCTCTCCTAAGTTTACACAACAATAACTGAAATCAATGACAAGTATCCAAGATGAAAACGGTAAATAAGTCTAGTGATACCTGACAGTCGGTAAATGATGTAATGTAACATACACGTTAATACAATGTACATCCATAAACGTTAGTTATTACTGAAGTAGACATCGCTGTGTATGTTAAACTTCAGACACCAATGCCTAAGTATCTAAATAATAACGATACCATTTTAGAACTGAATGACAGATCTACTTCAGTCGTAAAAAAAATATTGTATAAATGACTGGATAAGAAACGATGGTTTTGGAGTACCCACAGATTAACTTATTTAGATATCACTGTGTTCTATGTTGACAATGATTCCCAATATGAAATACACATTGCGCCTTGACGGCTATAAAACGAGTTAATTAGTTCAGCACTATAGACCTTGGAGGCAGCTAAATAATGTAATAGGTTGCTGTACTCCCGTGGACTGTTTCACATCTTTACTCTGTTCAAATCCGTCGTTTCATATTCGATAGCAACAAGTGTAAATTCCCCGAAGGATCCCTGTCCTATTCATGATTAATTGGATACGATGTTGAAAAAGTCGTCCTTCCTTTGGTTGCTTAAAAGCTGAAGACGCAGTAGTAGAAATTCCAGAAAGCACCTCTGATGGGAAGCCTTACAGAAATCAGTGCCCGGATGTAATTGGATTTCGCTGACGTGATATATGGTCTGCCAAAGGGCTTCTATAGGTTTATCCACACAGGATATCAAGACTAACGATGTCTTTTTACAGTAAGGTGGATGAAAAAGATTTGCATGTTTTCACGTGTTAAGACCACATATGAAGTTTGAATTCAACATCTCGCAACATTAAACATCACATCAAATTTAGACTTTGATACGGAGACAAAAAATGCCTTGTTTAATCACATCATGTACCAGAATTTGTGGAATTAATGAAGGATAAAAATCCACCAATATACCTATCAGAACTGAGATGTACACACCAGGCACGTCATATAGTTACAGTTAACCAGCGGTTGGGGGGAATTAAAAACTTTGCCACAAAAAGACAAAGAAAGTTGAAAGCAAAATTGAAATTCAAAAATATGTTGTTTTGATCTGTCTCAACCAATCTTCCAAATTGTGTTTAATCAGTCTTCGAAAATTTCACCAACCACTCGTTATATCCATTCGTTCTTTGAACAAGCGAGGCGTGATTTTCTTACAAATGCGATGGCCAGAGGAACATGGAATCTGTTTACT